CTTTCAGTTTAATTCTACCATATATTTTTCTCATTATATTTAATATTCATACTTTTAAACATAATTAACAATACAAATACTTAAATCCAAGAAGAAAGAAAAGTAGTAACTAAGAGAAAATCGGTTGTGTATTCATTGCCTGAAATACAATTAATGTGCTAATGTTCCTTCCGAATTACCGCACTTTCCGTACGCGCGCGTTCGTCATTATCGACTCAACGTCGATAAATTCACTACTCTACTATGACCCACCGATTCATTGCTGTTGACTGTACACTATTTATATTTGGTGCCGAGCGAGGCGCTGGACGGTACGGCGTAGTCCTTGTTGGACGAGTCGGTTCGGTCGGCACGGCGGTGCGTCCTTATCGGACGAGTCGGTTCGGTCGGTCCCGGCGCTCGGGACGGTCCGGTCGGTACAGCGGAGTCGCTCGCAGAGTCCCAGGCGCAGCTGGGCCGCAGGCACGGTGGGTCTTGCCTTCCGGGCGCCCCGGCGAGGGCAGAGAAGTCGGGCGCCCCAATTCTCTCCTAGGAAACAAGGGTCGGCCAACCGGGCGACCCGATCTGGCGGGTAGCGGAGCAGCCAGGCGCCCTGGCTCTCTCCAGGAAGCTATCAAATGGAGGTCCACCAGGCGCCCTGATCGGACAATCGAAGAAGTCGGGCGCCCCAACTCTCTTCAGGAAGGCGAAAGCGTGATCTGTACTAGAGCAGGCTCAGGACAGGACTGGATGCCGCTTGTTCTGCGGCCGTGGTTTATATACCCCCGCCGATAGACGTCGGCGGGGGAAGGCGCGGAGAGGGGATTGCCCGCGGGTATCACGCTTGGAGCGCGTGACTGTAGTGGGATTTGTGGCGCTAAGCGCCAGGGGCGGTTGGTCGGCCGAATCTAGTGACGAGACGGGGCGCATCGTCACAAAAATATAACGAAAAAAAATTAATTTGTATATAAGGGGTAGTTTCATTCCTTTAAACCATTTTTTAACACTAACTGATAATTTCTAAATTCATCTATTTATGTGACCTCAAAGTGTACCAAGTTTTATTAAAATCAGAATTTATTACTTCGTGAGATTCCCTTGTTTGAAAAAATTAACTTACAATCTGATTATGAGCTTTTATTTTCTTAATCATTTAAACAGATCATGTTTTGATCTGTATTAATAAAGTGCAACGTTTAATTTAATAAGATTTAAAAGAATAATGGATTGTTTCTGTAGAATACTTATGTCAATATCGGCGACTTTTCTCTGAGAGTTTATAGATCTTAAAAAAATGTCAAAAACTAGAAACTTTTAAAGTTTCTTTAAATAATTTCTGTAAATTTTATACAATTTACTTATTCACAAAATTATTTATATGTTAATACATTTTTTTTTTATTAGGTCATGAAAGCATCCATGTCCTATTTCACCGTGCTGTCGTCTTTCCAATAATCGTGGTAATTCTGCATTGTGCATATATTATATTTACAATATTGTAATATGTAAGTTAGTGAATTACTACAAAAATAAAGAATTTAAATTATTGTAAAAACGAGTTGTTTGAAATCACATCAAATAAATGCACTAATCTTTTTATCACGCAAAGATAATAAATTTCAAATCAGCAACGGTTCACTTGATCCTAGTAGTTATAAGTAACGGTTTTTTAACTCTGGCATTTCGAGGAAAGAAGAAGACTCTCGCGTCGCAGGATTCCATGTTCGATGGGCAGAATCTGCGAAGCAAGGGAGAGAAAAAACATGTCACTAGGCGTAACATCCACGATGAAAGCATCTGTTGAAAAAACTTCCCGGAACAAAGTGTCGAGTTTTATTAAGTTAAAAATGTTGTGAACTGTATTTAAGTTTAAAATTTTATTATAAGTTAATTACAAGACTTTTCAAAGCGGACTTTTAACAACGGATTAGCAGACCTTTGTGTTAGAGAATCATCTTCATTTCATTTTTTGCAGATGGAGAGATAATGTCTTGCAGCAAGATTAATGTCTTTAAAGGATTGATTTTCGGATCCAATTGTTTAAAAACGTGTCAAGTAACGGTTTCATTTTGTTCATTAAGACGAACAACTGTCCGATACACTGACGAGGTGTATCAATTCTTTGCAATATATATGTCGAAACTAATGGGTGTGGCCTATATTTCGCAAATGTTGCAGTTATCGTTGATTTCGCGACGTGATCTCGCGGAAAGCTGCCATGCATTGGCGCTTGATCAAAATGCTTAATTGCGTTTTTAACACGTGTTCGATGACATGACCGCGAGACGTTTAGATTGAAAAAATATTATATTACGCGAATCTATTGTGTCACAGCTGCTGTACATCGGCGCTTGGTCAAAATGCTAAATTGCATTTTTTACGCGTGTTCAACAGCAAGATTTCATTGCGAGGCATTATGGCTGCTCGTATAAATAGTCTCAGGATTTCACATTGTTAAATTGTTGAGCGACATGGCTACGTTCAAGCGAGTGCCTCCTCCTTGATGGAGGAGGAAACGAAATCGATATTGTTCAGCGATTGTTCGTCTTCTTCGTGAAAGAGAATGTGGATTTCCAAATGTGCTTATTCGCGTTAAGAAGGAATGTCCCGCTCATTTGTCGCATATACGTGGAACTACGCATTGCCGTGATATGTATTGGAACAGTGTCACAGAGTCATTCCTTGACACATGCCAAGGAAAAATTTATGGTATTAGTAATCACCGCTACACAGAAAATGAGTCACGTTTCGAGGTGTGGTGGAATTCGTTTCTTTTCCACCAATCAGACAAGGATCCTGATGAATTTAACGCCAGGGGTTTAAGAGTTTCGTTCAATCGACACGATGGACAAAGCTGGGCATTTATAGAAGTGAATTGGAGTTTAGATTTACAACTGCGGGACCGCGAGATTGCCAGTCTTGCTTTGAAAGCTGTATTTGAAAGAACGTTTGACAGAGTGGTGCTGGAATGATGTAGCTTTGGACAATAATGAATTATTACGTTCCGCTAAAGGATGAGGTGATCGAGAGACCGTAAGTTTCAATATATTATTTATTCTTTTTCCATGCTTAATTTATATTTATTTCCATGCTTGATTTAATTCTTTTACAGAATTGCGTCTCATATTTCGGAGACGCCTCGTATATTGGGAAGAAGATTCGCTTTAACATCCACCAATTTTAAATACCTGGATATTGGAATCAGCGTCGGATCTATATCTTATGTGGAAATACTTATTGGTGACAACCGAGGCAATCACATTATCCTGTTTCATGGAATGTGGAAGATGTTCATCGAGAAACGTATGGACATTGAACAATTTCTGCAATCAAGCGTTCCGTCCTCACTACGAATTCAAGACCTGGTTGTAGAGCTTGTAAAAATACGTAATGAAAATATTGTAAAATTGATGCTGAATGATACTTGTATGTATA